GAGTTTCCCATGGTATGCATACAACTGCCCAAATCACTTCTAGAGGAAAAAAACTAAATGTAAAAATATTTGCAGTATCATAGTATTATGATTACTATCTTTTTTCACTGAACAACTGCTATTCCATTTCTAAGGAAAACCTATTTTTGTTTCACACAAACATATTTACCCCATTTCTCCTTGACTATTATTTACCTATTTTAACAACATCACTGCAGGTGCATTCTCGCTCTTCATCTTCAAAGGCATCTTCTCTCCCTTTCATCAGAATTACAGGGCACACTATATCCCTCAAAAGATCCTCTGCTTCTAAATCAGAGGCACTTCGAGGCCGCCTGACCACTTCCAAGTCTCCATCATCATCCAGCAGAGCTTCTACTCCTTCACTATTTAATTCTCTTTCCTTTTTCAGGTTACTCCTGTCCTTGTTGCACAGTTCATCTCCACCTCTGTACTGGTGTTCTCTTCCTGTTTTAACTTCTTCCATGTGTCTCTCAGATGCCAAATCTTCTGTGTTCCAAAGGAATTTGAAATATGACAGGAATACTGTAAGAACACAGTGGGGCAGGGAGGGAAAGTTAACACCAGATAAGACAGAATCTATGCACAATTTCCACACGAATGAAATTCTGGTATGTGTTTCACATATTAAAAATCTAGGTGTTAAAAAATTACACACATAACTTGAAATATAATTCTGTTTGCAACTAAGAACTATTTCTGTTATTAAGTTCTGTCAGTAGAAATAAATGAGGCACTTCCACAGTCTACTGGCTGACTCAGCATCTCTGCAGTCACCAAGGACATTTTAATCTGATTTAGTAACACTTATTTTAACAACTGGCAGAAGAGATGGTTTCTTACATCCTCCAAAAGTTCTTCTGTTCAGACAAGTTCAAATCAAGTTGAAAGCAAAATTAATAGAAGTTAGAATTTGGGTTTTTCTGGTTAAGATCCCTGCCTTGTAAGAAACAAGAGTGTTCTAGTAAAAAGCAAGTAGATATTTTTTTTTACTGTTTTAAAAGTCTTTAAGAATTCAAGCAACTTGAAGCCTTGAAACTGGCTCAGTATGAGAGAGCAGAAATAAGTGCACAGGAGACACTTGAGAAAGCCAGAACACGCTGACACCTTAATAACTGTTTTAAAAGTCTTCAAGCTGATGACTTAAGCCATTGTTCTCAAAGACCAAATAATCAAAAAATATTTTGCAACAATCACCCAGTGACATCATTGTCTATTAAAATTTTAAGTTATCAGAACATGGACCTTGCAATTTTAATTATGGGAATCTGTACTGTCTGAATACCACACACGAGGAAGAACAAACATTCCATAGTCCTTCCATCTATGTTCATTCACAACAAAAGGGAAGAAATAAAGTGCTTGCCACCACTGCTTTTGACAGTTTCACAATTTATGAAGTTCTGTTCCAGTTTCTTTAGGAAGCATGCAACACATTCAAAGTTGGTCTGCTGTAATCTGACCAAAGTTTCTCTCTAGGGAAGACCATTTTTTCTAGATATAATAAAATCTTCATTGCCTGTCCCAGCATGAGAGATTTTTAAACTCATCTACTGTTTGCATGATGGCCAGATTAAACTGTTTTGGGTATTTAGCAACTTAGAGGACGCAGTCAGTGAAGGAAATGCTTTTGTTCTCCATGCCCATTCTGATCCTCTGCACGTGCTATGGCATTCAAAAGTTTTAAGGGAAAACTGACACAAAGGAGAAGAGCCTAAACCCCATAAACTTCCCTAAAATACAGCAGAATGGCAGTGGCAGATTGTCCTTGCATTTGTTAGAGTAAAAGCTGTCACACCACAACCCAATTCTTGTCTCCATAACAAGAGGAATTTCCCAGACCAAGCTCATTCAGAGTAGGTAGAAGATGCTGTCATTTCATTCTGCTAAAAGGTTCTTTGCATCGAGCAAAATCGCAGCAAACAAATGTCAAACAGCATGAAGACACACCACAGCACTGATTGCCTGGTTTTGACCTGATCAGGGTTAAAATTATTATTCACTTCTTTGGCAGGCTTTTGACAGGCCTACTTTTATCACTTTTCACCCTGTCATATGCCAGAACAGCTGCAAAAGTTACTCTTTTTATGTCACAACTTGGTTTGAAGAAACAATTAACACTTCTGTCACAGCAGGACTTTTCCACAGAACATTTTACCAGCAGCTTTAAGGTCACTTTCCTTGACAACTTTATAGCAACCTACAAGCTGGCAATCAGCCAGGGGCATTTGCCAACTCATTCCACCACAGCTCTGACTCTTCAAATTCTGTGTCAGTCAAAGCCATTGCTATTCTGAGTTTTCTTGTTGACAATTTTTAAAAACAAACAAACAAAAAAAACCCACAAAACCCCCCAAACAAAGCTGTTAGGTGCCCCTGCAATAGACAGTAAATCATCAATAAATCGTCACATAAAGATTTTATTAAAATCAATAAATTAATTACTGATAATTTTTACTTTATGCTTAAATTACCCCAGGGATAACCCCACGTTTATATATAAGAAACATCCCAACTTTTTATCATGATTCCCAAAGTGCTATATTGACATTATAGCTCAATGAACAAATAAATAAATAAAATAAAATCTGCAAGCAAGTTAATTCCGTTACTACTTCTCAGAAAGTATTTGTTAAGATAGGCTGTCTACAAATTCTACATTGTTTTCATTTCTGAAGTTAATTTCATGAGGAGAATCCAGCCAGCCCTCTTCTTAAGGACTCAGTAGGAGGTGATTTGGCTTATAACTGCTTAAAATATGTAATTATTAATATAAACCACTCAAAGCAGGATTCAGCCATTACAAATACATGAGTACAGTTAAAATACAGCTCCACCAGTCTAAGTATAACCCTACCTGGCTGTCCAACTGCATTCAGTCGTACCATGAGGTGTCTTTTGTTTGGGCAGAGCAGGTGAACATCAGACAGCACAGTGTCACTCCTGAACGTGGGGTTATCCATCTCCTTCTCTGCTACATCTACCATGATGTGCTGCTGAGAGGAACATCAACACAGCCCATGCAGTCCCCTGTGTAGTGCTGTCCCAGAGGGATCTGACACTCTTCTGTTAACAGGCATCCAGGAACAGCTTTGCTCAGCCAGGTAACCTCACAGCATTCCTGAGGAGACCCCAGGTGAGAGGTGATCGTGCCAGCTCCATGCTCCAGTAAGACAGCAAGTTGCTCATCAGGATATCCAACCTGAAACAAAACACAGGCAGCTTTTAGTGATCTCCTGACACCGTTTGAACATTGCTCCAGCAGGTTTTCAGAAGATAAAAATCAGATTACACTGTCCAACAAAGCTGCAATGCTCCAGTGCTCCCTTTTACTGTGCTCCAAAGAATCATCAATACATAACTCTCAGTAGTGCAGTGGCAGACACTGCATATTTTAGGAAGAACTGCTAACTTGTGTTAAAAACAACTTTCCCCCGAAAAAAGCAAATGTTACCATGAGTGCTAAATCAAGGTATTCAAAGGAAATAAGGCCTTATGTGCACAACTTCACTGGTTTAAGGGATCTTAAAGCTGTTCATAGAAATCTCTGAAATTTCTTAGAAACAGGCACTATTATCAAATGTTGTATCACAGGTTAGTCTCCCAAACTCCCTAAAAGGAGTATGTGCTCTTCCTGGAGAAAATTCAGTTCCCTTTACAAACCCCCACTAACTGGGCAGTTAATGTCTCCCATCTTTGACACTCTTTATTCTTCCATAGAAAAAAATCCAACACCTGAAACCATCCTCGCTACCTCATGTCCAAGGCTCAGCTGTCTCTATCCCACACCATGAACAAGGGAATTACCTCCTATGAATGGAAAAATACAGAGGACATTGATTTCCCTATGTTCTACAAAACCTGGCATTTTGTGAAAGGGAACGTGAACTGTAGATCTGAAAGTGAAATTTGTGTCTTTAAAAACGTAAAAAAAAAGTTTTTTAAGTTTTTAAAAAAACTTAGAAAAAGCTTAGATCACACATGCAAATCATCAAGCACTACATGAATTATTTAGTCAGCAAAGACACTTGGGTCTCACCAGCTATGAGCACCCCTAACACTCCTCAAAAACTGCTGATACCATTTCCTACGTTGGCATTAATGCCTTGGAAGATTATGCTAAATTTTCTGTTATCTGATTGTTCTTGAACAAGATCACAGAATGGGTCAGGCTGGAAGGGACCAGAGTGGGTCACCTGGTCCAACCTCCCTGCTCCAGCAGCGTCATCCCAGAGCACACGGCACAGGTTTGCATCCAGATGATTCTGAAGTATCTACAGGGAGGGAGCCTGCACGCCCTCTCTGGGTGATCCTTTTCAGTGCTCGGTCACTGCACAGGAAAGAACTTCTTCCTTATGTTCAGGGGGAATTTCCTGGGCATCAGTTCCTGCCCGATGCCTGCTGTCCTATTGCTCGGCACCACCGAGCAGAGCCTGGTCCATCCTCTGACACCTCCCTTCACATTAAGATACCTCCTATTAGATACCTGGTCCATCCTCTCACACCCACCCTTTAGACACCGACAAACATTCATAAGGTCGCCTCTCAGGCACCCCTTCTCCAGGCTGAAGAGGCCCCGCTCCTAAGAGAGATGCTCCTGACCCTTGACCAACTTCGCTCTCTGCTGGACACACATACACACTCTTAAAACGCCCCGAGCTTTACAGGCAGCCCCTGTACCTGCAGTTATGCAGTTCTATCAACCTCTGCAAGACCCGCTCCCCCTCCCGAGCCGCCCTTTGCCCGCGGGACTCGGCGCAGGAGCAGCCGCGGGGCTCAGACCGCAGGCGCTCCCGCCGCTCCTCCGGACCGGGACCGGGGGCTGTGGGGGACAGGTCCTGCCTGCCCCGTGTCCCTCCCAGGCAGATCCCGGCCCCACCAGCACCTCCCTCGCTCGCTGCCGGGGCAGCGGCTCCGTCCGCCCCTTCCGCTGACGCCGCTGCCCGGCGGCCCCCGGGGCTCGGGCGGTGCCTCCCGCGATGGGGGCAGTTCTTAATCTGAGAGGCACCGGCGAAACCTGGGTGAAAAAAATAAAAGTCAGCGCTAGCAGCCTTGCGTTAAAGGTTCCGCAGGAGCGGTTTCCGGGGTTTAAACCCGCGTTTCTTATCGCGTTCTTTTATTAATTGGTTTTAGCGTCTCTCGCCGTGTCGCGTTTTCCGTGTGCGGTTCCGTGCAAAAACATCCAAACGGCTTGAAAGCGAAAATGGAAAAACACTCTGCGGAGGCAAATAGGCGTTTCTTCCTTAGTCCAGATAATGTCAGAATTTTACTATCACCCTAAGATTAGCTGGAGCAACAGCAATATGTGCTCACTTGTTTTGGGGTAGTTTCTTAATTCTGCAGTTTTCAATTAGTCGTGAACCAGGTGAAATGAACAGAAGACTGAGTTAGGTGTTGGGCAGAAGCACCACAACCAGAGTGCTTTGGAATGATTTAATAACAGAAATTTGTCTAACTCACGGAGTCAGTATCTACATTTTGGACCTTTGCTACAGATGATGCTTGTATTTTTCTTGAATAGATGCTTGTGGGGAAGGAAGAATTAAAGAGTCAGTGTTCAAAAAACCCCATGGAATGTAATGCATATTCTGTGTCTGTTTCTGGGTATCTGCTTCTCATGATCCGCATCCTTCAACAAAGGCTAAGAATTATTAAAAGAATGAAGTAATCTTTCCCTGTTTTTACAGCCAAGAGTGTTGAGTGGCAATGGAATGGAAAATGCAGCAAGCCATTCAGTTCTCTCCTTGGAGTTTCTGTAGGGAATTCTGTTGGATGAACATCTGTCAAAAAATGCTTTGGAGATTTGTTCTCCTCTTATCTGGCTCCTGTGAAAGAGCAGAACATTATTTTACTTCCCATGGTGATACACTGCCACATAAATTATTACTGCAGTCTCTCTCTGCTGGCATGTTCCCACTGCTGTAAAGTGCTAACAATCTGCAGGAAAAGCAGTTTTTATTTGTTGGAAAATCCTGCCAGTTTGCAGCAGGAGACATTTACTGGCACACAGACTAAGTATTGCTAGAGGAGCTAAAGGGTGAGTGTTTCACTGCACTACACGGGAGCTTTTGAACACAAAGGTACATTAGGTGAGAAATGGAGCTGCCATAATTTCTTTTCTACATAATGCTGCTACGTAGTTTCACAATATGCATAATCATTAGGCAAAGCAGGAACATCTTGTGGCTGCAGAAGGTCATAAAGGAGCCAGTCCGGCTGCAGGCATTGTAATGTGGGTGATAATGACAGTTGTTTAGGGAGATGCAATTTCTGTACTACACACAAGGGGGCTTTGGCAGCAAACTCCCGACATCTACCTCTTTTTTTTTTAAGGATGCACCTCAGCTGCATTTCCTATCTTCCCCACAGCCATGTGAGCTGTCAATTTGCTTAAAGAAAGCAACTCAAGAGTATCCCTTAGTCACATCATACCAGGTATTAGAAGAGTTAAATTACTCCTTTCCTCATGGTTTTCCCGCAGTCCTTTCATGGCCCAAAAGGTATTGTTAGACAGTTCTTTACAGAATGTCTTCTTGAATACCAGCACTGCTGCAGGAGGCTCAGAAAAGAAAACTATACAGACAATCCTGAAAAATATATATCACAGGGAAAAATCTAATTCCTTAAGATTAGATAAGAGAACAGAGCTGATTCTAAGCAGACAGGAATAACAGATGAATTAATACACCACCACATCCTTGCTCTTGTACTGTGCAGTAGGGCATCCCTGAAAGCACATGCTATCTTTCCAGCATGTAGTGTACTGTCTCTTTGCTTGTCTTCTTTTCTAGTAGACATTATATGTCAAAAAAACCCCAAAACAAACAAACAAAAACAAAACAAAAAAGCAAACAAACAAACGAAACCCCCCAAAACCCCAAACAAACAAACAAAAAAGTAAACCAAAAAAGAAACTGAAGGCTCTCAGGAAGAAAAAATATATCAGTCCTCATAATTTTAATCCTACTGTACTGGGGCTGTTGAAAGGAGATATGCTGAAATAGTTTTCACTTCATCTTGTTAACTGGTGTACTGGTATGCAAAGTATGTGAGACAAGTTGCTTAAACCATCAAGCAGCACAGAAAAATGTCAGGCAACACAGTGAATAAAATGACTGTTGGTCTACATGATAAATCAGTGAAGAATCTTCCTAAATAACTGCTTGAGGTTCAAAAGTGCATGAGGGGAATAACTGAAAAGTTATTAAAAAGGACAACTGCAGCTGTCAGCTTTTTTGTTTCCACATTTCCTGAATATTCATTTCTCCTTCCCAGGGGAAGTTAAGAATCATACTGCCTTGCCAACAAGAAAACTGAATTAAAAAGCAGTAACATTAACTTCACAGAGCTGAAATCCACATCGATTTCTTTTTCGTTAACTATTTTGTGGTTGTTTATCAGCTACTTTCATAGCCTTTGACTATAACATTTATCTCCAGGGGCTTATTCAGAACAATAATTTGCATGCCTTTGACATCACCCAGTTATGAGTTCCCATGTCCAACACAAGCTGATTTGTACACAAATTTTTCTAAGAGAGACATGTTTGTAACATGTCAGGTGAATGTCTACCCAAGTGACTGTGGTTGCCAACACCAAAAATGAGTTTGCCTATGAGGATGTTGCGAGAGACAACATCAAAAGCCTTGCTAAAGTTAAGATAGACAATACCCACTGCAAATATAGTTGGAAAAAAGAGACAAGCTTGGGATCCTCGTTAGGACTCGTGCCCCAAGGCCTCTTCATTTTGTCTTGCTGCACTACTTAGTCTAACTAAACATTTTCACTTTGCTTGATTAACTTTGTATCACCCAAACATCACAATTACAAGGAGGCGACATCTGCTTAGTTTGTAGAACTACACAGTGCAACTTGGAGATGTGAGAAAGAGATGGCAAAAGCTCAGAATAATGCTATATATCTGCTTAACAATGTATTCTTGAATGGAAAGACTATAATATTCCCAACAGTATACACCTTTCAGTACTTTTGCAGAGCAAAATGTGGTCTGTAGTGCTGATGATTACAGTGTTTAAACAAACACTCTCTCTCAATAAATATTTTGCTTTTAACTGATCCTACTGCTGAAGCCCTACTGGTTCCTGATAGCTTGTTGCCATGAATGGGTAATGATGTCACACATTCTACCCAGTGTCCATGCCAGAAAATAAATGAGAATGACTTTTTTAGTTTTTGGGAGCTACTTAGCAATTCTCTGGAAGGTCTGAAGTGAATTACAAGGAAGAAAACCTGATACCCCATTGACCCTACCTGTATTGTATCTTTATGCCAGTAAAGTGGCACAGTAAAACTCCAGAGCAAAGGGTCTGCAGATTTAAAATCATGGTTCTGTTACTTCAATTTACCTTGTTATCTAACGTTTCAGTGAGATAGATGAAGTGTGGCTTAGGGGCTCACACGTGAACACACCTGTGCCCTTGGAAACTACATAGCTATAGTTTCTGGAAGAGGGTGTACTACTTGTGTCCTTCCCTCCATCGGTGACTTTCTGACAGGAAAATGATCCCAAGCAGGGTACAGACATCCCCCCATCAGGTAGCAATTTCCACGCTGCTGCCTTCTCTCACACTGCCTTTCAAATTAGGTTAGATCTGTCCTTTTGAGCTCGGCATCTGGAAGGGAAAGAGCAAGAGGAAATCTCTTGTAAGTACATGGGAAAGGCTGCAGGAACACCAGCGCTGTCACTGCTCCCTCCTCCCCTCCAGGACCGCGGCGTTTGGAGTAAGGGAGCGATCAGGATCCCCATCCCCGTGCGTTCTCGCATGTATCCCTTCCTGGGGAGGCAGAGCCCACCTGCTCAGCGCCGCCACTGATGCGCAGGCGGGTCGGGACAGGTACCGGGGGTCGGGGGCAGGGGGGACCTCTCTGTGCGGGGGACCCCTCTGTGCCGGCGGGGTCCCCGCTCCGCCCGCGGGGGCGCGCAGGGAGCGGGGGCGGGGCTCGGGCGCGCAACCTGCGCGGCCGTCGGGTCCGGCGAGGCGGGGCGGGCGGCGGCGGCATCAGCATGAGGAATGAAACTTGGCGCCTCACCCTCGTGGCCCTGTGGGACTTTCCAGCTTCGTCTTCCTCGGTGCCATCGCGACGATGCTGGTACATCAAATCGATGCCCTCCAAGCTGGACGCGTCCCGGAACGGCTCGGACGCGCTCAGTCCACTTCGGGCTGTGGCGGACCTGCCGCGGTGAGTGGGGCGGGCGGAGCGGCCATCCAGCTGTGGATCCCAGCTGTGGGATCCAGCTGCGGGGGATCCAGCTGCGGGGATCCAGCTGCTGGATCCAGCTGCTGCGATCGCTGTGAGGTCAGCCGCGGGATCCAGCCGCGGATCCAGCTGCGGAGATCCAGCTGCGGAGATCCAGCTGCGGAGATCCAGCTGTAAGGTTCCAGTTGCGAGGTCCGGATGTCCGGAGGGCCCCGGCATCCGTGGGCAGTGCCTTGTCGATGCCCTCCCGTGTTACCTGCCGAGGGAGACGTGGGGAGAGCGAATTTTCTGCTGCTGTAACCTGATTATGCATTAACTTTTAATCCGAGCTAATTTAATAAACGTTAACCATTTAGGAGGAAGGAGATGTCTTTTCATTTGGCTCGGGGAATTAAGGGGTGAAAGTTCTGGGTTAAAGCCATTAAAATAATAAATAATAATTTAAAGAACATAAACATAAAGAACTTAAATATAAACACTATAGTTTATGTATACAAACAATACAATTATTGTTATTATTATTATTATGTATTATTAAATTAACATAGCAATATAAACATTGTTAGTTTGAAATGCACAACATTTATTAAAATTTTTAACATTAAAATTTAAATTAGGTTATCTATAAATAATTTAAGTAAACTTAATCACATACTAGCTAAAGCTAAGTGACTAAAGACTCACCAAGTTCACCAGGTAGTTGTACTGTGTTTGGTTTTGCTTAGTGTTTCATAGTTCTAGATTTTAATGAAAGATCTATAAATGCTATATGGAGAGTATAGAATTTTCCCCATTGAGTTAATTTGTTACTTTTGGTTTTGATTCCACCACTAAAAGCAAGGAGTAAGTAATGTTCACCACAGTCTAGAAAGGATGTTGCTCCCAGTGGAGTGGGGAGAAGCAGCAGGTTTCAGGAATTCTCCCTGTGCTGTATCCCAAGCCCACTGCAACGAGCAGATGTTTCCCTGCTGACTCCAGCAGTCAGGCCCCATGGGAGCAGCCAATGCTGGGTACTGAAAATCCCCTCCTTTCCTTCTCTACCTAGGAATAACTGTTTTAAAAGCAGTTAATATTATATGAATTATACTTACATGCAAAAAAAAAAAAAACATAGCAAAAAGATGCTATAGTGTAATTTTTCCCTCTTTGTTTTTCCCCTTCTCTGTTAGTGAGGAGTGAGTGTTACCCTTTGATAAACCCCTTCTGGCACGAGAATGCAAACATCACCGAGTCACACAGACAGCTTTTGTGTGAGTAGCATTTATATTATTTTTATATTTATATCCACCCTTCCCTCCCTCCTTGGCCACTTACAAGGACTCATTTCTGATTCAGAGGGGGAACTCTCTGAGATAGTGTTTTGTCTCTGCTTCTGTACAACATCTGTCACTGCCTGTGGTCTTTGAGTAGGTTTACTTTTGAAATAACCATCTATTGCATGTCAAGTTCAGCTAATTTCTTCCACAGGAGCAAGACCTTTCTGACTGGAATGGCACAGGAAGGTACACAATTGTTAAAAAATAAAAGGCAAAAATGGTCAAAATCGCCTCAGAGGAGTCTGATCACTGAAAATACTTAAGCACACATTTAAATGAGTCTTTTCTACCCTTTCAGTGGGATTCCTTGCACTGATAAAAGACTTATGTTAGTGAGAATTCAAGAAAATTAATCCCTGACTAAAAGCAGTGTTTGAAGTCCTTGAAGAACACTGTGTTCAAAACCACTAAGCTCCTAACTCTATTTACTTCCTTTTTTTTCCCTGATACATTAGTCAATGTCAGGATGTTCTCAGAAAGTCCAAACTGAACATTTTCAAATACTTACAGGCACGTCCCAAAAGATGATTTAGCTTCTTTGCAACATATTCTGCACAATCCTCTGCTCACACATGCTCATATATGGCCTTGATTTTTATAACCTTTTAATTTACTTACCTCTCCTCTCTGACTCTGGCTCTTTCCACCTTGCATGCAGAATATGTGCATTAGTCCTGTGTCTTGAAATGGGACTCTTTCCCTCAAAACCAGCCATTTCCTGAACAATCCTCCAGAGAGGCTTAGAGTGTCTTCAACCTCTTGGAGCAGCATCCCATGATGAGCTAAGAGTGCAGCACATGTGGAAAGGAGGCCTGGGAGGTGCTGATGCTGGTGGGGCTGTGTCCCACCTGTAACTGGGAAGCTGCAGTAGGAATAAGATCCCAGTGGGCTACTGAAAGAGCCATATAACATATCGACAGGTTCAAGACTAACAGCCCAGGTTGTCTCTCTGAGCTTTCAAATAGAAAAGTGCCATTTCTTAAATTTTCCCTGCTCAAGACAGAGGGCCTTGCCTGCTTGATGTTGCTGAAAACTCTGAGGATCAGTGAAAGTGATTGTCTGCTTGATCACTTAAACCTTTGAGGGGTCACTGTTAATTGAACCCAACCAGACTGATCACGTTTTAGGTGTGGGCAGCTCAACTGTTACGTTGGGGATGGTCCAAAATTTCGGGATAAAGTTGTTAGCATTTCAAAAGTTGTGTGCGTATTTGCAAAAGGCACACCTGTTATTTCCCCCAGGTGAGGAGATTTTAGGTTGCAGCTCTTCAATGAAATAACAAAACAAAATCAGAGATGATTTTGGTTATAAAAATGATGTTGGCTTGGAAACAAAGGTAGTCACGAAGTGTAAGAAAATAGTGGATGTGAGTAAAAATTGGATTAATAACTATGTTTACAGGCTCTCCAGAGCTTAACAGATTTTTTTTTTCTCTCACTTTCACATCAAGTACTATTTTTAGGTTCCTGGACAAAGACTTCAGGTCTGCAAAGACACTTGCAGATTTTACGATAAACAGGCATAGTCTGCCTAAAAATGATGAGATTAGAAATCAAAGATACTTTTATTGAAATAACCTGTTAGGCTTGATTAGAATGACCTACAGAGTGAACTTCTTGATTTTTTTGGATGTTCAGCTTCAGTGCAGTTTTAGTGAGGTGAGGCTACAGGTCTGCAGCAACAGCAGCTGAACACAGGAACTGCCCTGCCAGTCCTTCTTCCTTCAAGGAAATACAGATATTTCTGAGTGACATCTAAGTTCATTAAGTACTGAGATAGTACCTTCTGCTCTTTCTTAAATATTTTCTGACTGTGGTCACTGAATCATATTTAGGCAAACCATTTTCATCTACGACACATTTTAACTAGAATTTTAGAGGAAAATTCTGAGGGCATGGGTTGCAGTATGTTTACAGTAGTTTCTTCATCTGTTGCTGTATGGGGCAAACAAGCTAATTGCATAACTTTAATTGGTTACTTCAAAAAAATCATATTTTTCTCATGTGTGCCTATGCAGGTGTCTGTGAGGAACATTCACATGGGATTAATCTCATTCCATCTAGCTCACATATTTCTCACTGATTATCCCTTAATGGACTGTCTCCTGATGTAGGTACTTAAGTAACACATCGGTCACATCCCTCATTCCTCAGTTTGAATGCACTTCTTGGTGTGTCTTAACTAGACACAAGTGCCAAAAAGATGGGAGAAAGTCTGTGTGTGAGTGCAAAGAGCTGGGTCGAAGTGGAAACAAAAGTCCTGGTCACTGCCAGAAGACAAACCTTTCATTAGAGAACGAAAAGCCTCCACATCCCCTTCCTCCACACTTCCAATCTCTCTCCTATTCATCCACAGCCTATTCCTTTTAGGTTTATTGTGTACTTCAAATAGAGCTCCTGGTAAATTAAAATGATTTGGTATACAAGTTAACATCCTGTGCCAGCAGCAATATTACTCAGGCAATCAACACAGGTGCTGTTAAGCCTGGCAGTGTGACGTGCTTTCACATCACAGGAGTACTCTTGGCTGATTCCTCTCATGGATTAGACACAAACATGCCTCCTCCTCTGCATTAGCCTTCCACTTCTTTTCTTACCACTCCCTCCAGCTGAACATACAGTGTATACCATCTCTCTCCCTCAAGCCCACAATGTATAAAATATTTTCCTACTACAGATTACATTATGACATGGCTGTATATTTGGTTAAAACATCATCCACTGACTAAACAAAAATACCACTATAGACTTCCTGCCACTAGTTTTCCTGAAATTTCTGCATTTTAAAAATGCTTTTTTACTGGAGATGTACACTTTCCTCTGTCCTAGACAGGATTAAAACTGTCACTTTTCACAATTTAGACAGTTATCAGGGTCTCTTGGTGACCAGTAGAATTAAAGATAGTCCTCTGAAAATCACCCTTAGAACTGAAATCTCATCAGACCCCCCACAGATATTTTGCCTTGCTGTGTGTTCTCCTGTGCAAGCTATGGAAGACAACTTTTTTTCATGGTGAGCTGAATCCATCTCTCACTAAATGATAAAATAAGGGTGTCACTCTCACTTCAAAGGAAGCTGCATCAGGAGCTCTGAGCAGCTTTGCCATTTTCCAGTAGAAGAAACATAGCATCCCCAATCACATGGAAGTGTTGAGGATCACATACAGAGAGGGAAGCTGGTGTGTAGCAGAAATGGCAGTATTTAATCACCTGAAAGATTTTCCCCAAGAGTTTCAGCTTTGTAAAAGAAGTTCTTGAAAGAAAAACCAAAACAAAACGAACAGAACCAAAACTACAAAAAAAAAATACCACTACCAAAAAAACCCAAACAGAAAAAAAACCCCAGTAAGTTACATGGGGCAAAGGTTGCTCTTAGGTATTTTTGTAAAATAAATATTTTCCATTTACCAGTCTGTATTGTTAATAATTAGTGAATACCAGTATAGATTTAGGTAAAGGCAGCGCCAGTGTAATCCCTGCAAAATGAACAGTGTTGTAAATATTTTTAATCAAAACCAGACAATTTCTCTTGAGTCTTAGCTTTGCACCTGAGCTGGTGTGGAGTCCCACCTGCACTGCAGGGCTGGGGTTGGTGTTATGGAAAATAATGTGAGAGGAACTGCTGTTCTTTCTTACTGTCTGCATGACACACAAACCATCTGCATTAGGTACCTACAGGTACCTACAAGCCTCTCACAATCCTGATTTTTTTGTTATTGACATGAACATCATGGGCAGTGATTGATTTCCTTTTACAGGTCCATTTTTAGTGCTCTCCTGTATTCTTGAGCCATCTAGAGATGAGCAGTTAATGGATGTGGTTTCCACTTACATGTCGCTTGAAGAAAATCTTTTTCCTGATGTAAAATCAAGACTGGAGTGTGCAGCTGCCCAGTGCAACTGCTTAAAGTATCCTCCTAAGAGTATTTTTATTTTTTATTTTTTCTTTTTTAAACTTCAGTGTGACTGGAACATGAGGCTGCAGACAAGTTAGTCCTTCCTGCAGGGAAACAATCTTTGCAGCAGAGGCAGTTACTGATGCCTCAGTTGTTTTAATGTAACAGCTGCCTTGGTTTCTTCCTCAACAAAATTAGTTTAATAGTACAGATAAACTTGTCTGGATTTCCTTACAACATGTGGACCCTGTAACTAACCAGCTGCTTTCACACTTTGCCCTGCTCTTCATTTTTACTGAGCTTATTTTATTTTTACAGTTTGTAATGTTATAAAGAATCCCCTATTATTTGGCTGCCATGATGTTTTTCCTTGGGGATTTACAGTTCTTCACAATTTTTCTTGTGATTTGAAGTTATCAGAAGGAAACCAGGGCTGGAATATCTAGCAAGAGCTAGTTCAGAGGCCAAGTGAAATAAGACCCAAATGATGTACACAGAAATTCTAATTTAATTGATCTGGTAGGTGTGTACCTAAAGGGATCTGCTTTGTTTCTGAGCAACAGTGTACTGTTCCTTCAGAGAGGTCCCAGTGAACATCTGCTGGGTGCTTAGAGCAGATATTACAGTAAATATATACAGAAATCTGAGATAACTCCAGCATCACTGCAGCTGAGACCAAATGAGTGACAAATGTGATGAATGTTCTCGTTTTCAAAGTCATTGGTACCGTGGCAATAGCGTGTGAGCCACAGTGCACTGCTCACATCCATCATCCTACCCATTCCTGCTTGTCACTGTCCCCTGTTCCCTGTCCAGCATCATTTTATTTCTACTGTCTGCAATTCGTCTTCCAGTTGAGCTCAGAGACTTTCTGAGAAGAGCACCAAGCCAAAACATGTAACACACAGACCAGAGCTTGGCTAATTGTCCTGGAGTTCCCTAACCCTGTGAGCAATCCTCCACCAGCATCTTTTCTCTGGTGATCTGGAGGGAAACCAGGCCTTTGTGTCCCTGGGGTCCGAGCCCAGAAGTCTCACATTTAGCCACTGACAGTTCTTTTCAGTTGCTCGTTGTTTTTCCATGTTGTTTCCTTCCTTTCTTCCCTACAAGCAGGTAGGTCTTTCTCCATTCACTGATTCTTCTTGGCTTTGCCAAGTCTTTCCAGAGCAGCCCCACTGGTTTTAGCAGCTGTTTGGTTTCAGCTCGAGGCTTTTGTCTTTCTAACTGGCTATTTAGTAACTGCTGGGTAAGATAAACAGGGCCTTAATTAAGCTCTTCTGAGCCGCTGCCATTTGGAGTATTTCTGATGAGGTGACTATTACAGTTTTCTAGAGACTATTTGCTATTATAAGCTGTGCAAACAAATCCGAAGTTGCTTTGAAGCAATTAAGCTCCAGCACGTTAACAGATGATTAACAAAACTGCTCGGCTTGCAGTTGGTTACTTCTGACACCGCTCCATTTTTCTAGTTCGTTCCACAGATTTCTCTTTGCAAACAACTCAACAACAACTGTGTTGGGTGGTAATTTAGAAGTGCCTGCCAAATCCTGAGATCTGGACACACGCTGCAGATGTCATTCTTACAGATATTTGGTCCCATCTCTACTGAAACAGCTTTGGTTAGCTAATGTAAAACTTCATTAGCTCAGATCAGGCAATTTAGTTCTTTTCTCTTCTGCAAAAACCAGGAGTGTTTTTTAAATGTTTGTGAGTTTGTTTCAGTATTTCCAAGACTAAACTATTGGACCTTTTGTGACAGGGAACTCTGGCATTGAGCAATAGAGGGGGCAAACTGAATTCTGTTTTACAAGAAAGTGCACATACCTCTTCTTGTGCAAAATGTTTAGGCTGGTGGGTTTTTTTCAACAGTAGATTAATTTCATCAATATGAAGAGTTATATGTACAATATATAATGCATCAATGTGTATTTCAACAGAAATTGAAAAAAATGCTAAAATGACTGCAAAATTAATGTTTTAACTTCTTTCACAGATGATTATTGAGGACAGAAACACAGTAAAGATATTTTAAGTCATGTTCTTCTATAAACTAATTCTGTTCCTCTAATCAAGGAATATAATGGCATAATATCATATGCCAGATGGCATGAATTCAGATTCCTGAGTGGTTTCCATGGCAGCATTTTAGAATAAGTTTCCCAGGCAGTTGCAGATTTCACAGGACAAATGAGTATTAGATATTGAACTTGAACACTGGAGATGATAAAGTGCTGTTTAACCAAATACAATCCATTAAATATTTGATTTTAAAAAAGCTGCAGGTGATTAATGGGAAATGTAGCTGTGTATAGGAAAAGTGAGGCTCTGTCACAGTGGGATTTGTGGGTTTCAGCTGAGATATTACTAAATCCTGTATTTTCACTCAAGAGGGCATAAAAATCAGAGTTATTCTGATGCTGCATGCAACTGCCACAGATCATTAATGTAATCTGTGACACTCCCCAGGATGTTCTGGTATGGATTTGCTTTCCCTTTCCTTCACAAGGTTCCATTCAGAGCCTGATCTACCTCACCCACTGTCCTGGCTCAGGTTGCAGTAGCTGAAATCACACCATGATAAGGAAAGTCAAAGAAATAGCAACTGTAGGTGCTACTGTCCTGAGGTGTAACTTGTTAGCAGTCAGTGAGGGACACCTGGAAAATCACAAGGCATAGAGCCAGCGAGGAGCTTATTTCTGTTTTTTCCCTCCCAGCAAAGCCAGGTCTGGGGACAGAGTTGTACCATTCTTACATTCACAATTTTAAAATGTTAATTGTATCTGATTTTATCAGATTTGAGCATCAAGGCCTTTTCACCTTTTACGTGCAAGACCAAATCTAAGGGAGCACATGGATGTCAGAGTGGTGGGGAACCAAAACCAGGCCCAATAACCCTCAGCAAGCACAAATGTGGCTGAAGACCAGCCTGTTTCTGCTGCTTCTATGGAATCTGAGAGCTGAATTGGGTTCCAAATCTCTGTTCTGTCCCATCATGTGGCATAACATCCCCAACAACCACTTCTACCTATATAAAACTGCTGAACTGCGTGAGTTCCATGGCTATTTCTTGTCTTGGTATTCAGCTAAGAATTGCAGACAGTTTTGACATACTGGTTTCTACCCAGTAAGCTGAAGATTGATTTGGCTGTTAGCATCTGAGAATTGCTATAGGTTTGTGTTTCTTAGGCAGCAACAGCAGCTGTGGCTACTTTTGCTGAAGGAAAACACAGGGAGTGTCCTCAGCTTTAGAATCAAAGAGAGAAAGTGCTCTCTTCAGTGCAGAATGCTGAATTTGTCATTTCTGAGCATCAGCTGGTCCTGATGTGGGCATATGTGGGATTGAATATGAAAATATAATACCAGCATAAATAAACAGAAACAGAAGAACAGTAGGGTCACCTCCCAAAACTTTGTCATTTGCCACATTTTTCCTTGTGATCATGTTCTGTGCTACACAAAACAAATAATTATATCTTGAAACCACATTCTCCACAAGAAAAGACATTAACAGTGTCTGCCTTGATCCCATGCAGACCCTTCTTAACCTTCCAAGCTTCTAGAACTGAACAGAGATACACAATTGTGTCTTATCTTTATAATGCTGTTGAAGGGGATAAGCTGGATCCTTAGCCAGTGACAGAGGGAGTGCTTCCAATTCAATGGGCAGTTACAGTCACTTAAAAAAAATTGATCATTTGGTCACACAAAACCTGTGATCTCTTAACTGATTCCTTTTCCTTGGGAACCAGCTAATGGTGTATTGTGATTCCTCTGTGAAATTAAACGAGTCACTGAAGCCTAGACCTCTTCAGAATATGGATTTTAAGGGATTTTTTTTGTCTCAGCACTTTGGTATTAAATAAATTGATACTGGAATTACTTTTTCTTGGTTATTATTCTAGAAAAGGTTGGGTTAAAGGTTGTGGATAGATTACATGAAAAGGAACAATGACACAAAGATGGTTCATGATGAAAAAAACTGTGATATGAAAAAATACATAGCAACCCTCTGTTTACACAGCTATTAAAATGTTATAGGGATCAAGAAAGACTAATGTAAAACATTTAGCATGGGAGGAAGCGAGCAGGATAGGTTAATGTACTTAGTGAAGCTGCTGTAGAAAACAATGACAGACAGAATCAGAGCTGGATGGGAAAATTTACCTCTAGTTGATGGTCAGCTGCAACAAAGGAAAAGGTCACCAATTTGCTAGATCTGTTCAGCAGAGGACATGTGACAGAAGAGAAAGAATTTAATCAAAAGCATGGCTGGATCTCACCACCCAGACAACAATGCCACTCACTGTGATCTGTGTGATAACCAGGGCTACTTCTGATTTAGGTTGTCAGTGCCTACCTGGTATGCAGTGCATGACCTGTTATCCAGTTTGGCTTAATAGCTCAGTCTTTTTAACTGCTTAAATATATCTATGCAGACATATCCTTTATATTTCTGGTCTCTGTTTGGAACACAGGCTGTGATCCTGTGAGGGCTTGCTCTGTATGTGACCTTTTCCTCCATATCATGTATTTGTCCTGCCAACTTAAACTGAAAACCCAAGAGGTTTTCCAATTTCTTGTTGATTCAGCACAGAATAAAGCTTTGATTCTGCTCAGGGGCTCTGCACTTAATAATTATTAGTACATCCACTGACACCATAATCAAATATTGAAATATTAACGTTCTTTATTTTTCTTCAGACATGCATGGAACATTTGTCATCCTGATGCCCCTCAGCCTGATACTGATGATTTTTGGAGGAATGACTGGGTTCATCAGTATCCTTGCCAGGGCCTACCTACTGCTTCTGATGACGGGACTGCTTTTTCTTTTTGGAGGTACAATATCAAACCCCCAACCTAACCAATTTAAATAATAAGGGATTATGTCTCAGAAACATCACTTTGTTTTTCCAGAGAATAAGAGCTAGGCAGGAGTTTCCTTTCAGAATAATGCTGGTGTTCATCCTGATGGGATTCTGGAACAGAGCAACTTAGAGTCAGGAAAGGCAAATAATCACACACAGCCAAACATCCTTGTGCAGTGAGTCACACTTTGAACACAGAGTGTTTGCTGTGCCCATTAACACAAAAGATTTAATACCTTCTAAGCACAGGGCACAAATTCTTTACAGACAGGGTAATGGGGTAATTGACTTTGGAACTAGTAAAGCATAGGGTTTGATAACCTTACACAGACCTTACACCCATTAAGAAAAGTGACAATTTTTTAAAGGCTTTTGCATTGGGTTCCTGAAAAGAGTCTTGCTGGGCAAGTCTGCTCCAAGGATGTCTTTGACTCAGTTATTTGGAAGTGATGAGTAGTCATGACTCCACAACACTTGGTGGGAGGTGGCAGCAAAGACCAACACGTTTACATTAAACACTCAAAATTTACAATACTCAAAATTAGAAAGCAGCCTAAATTCAGGTCAGTGACCTGACATGCAAGAATCTGTGTCTCTGTGGGCTTTCTGGCATAGAGGTGGACATCTGCACATGGTGCTCAGCAGTGAGGAATCAGGATGCACTATAATACAGTACTGAAAACACAGATGTGTGTGCATTAGATATCTGTGAAATATATGACTGGATTTCTATTGTGGCAGGATTGATGTTAGACATTTTGATTCAGTATTTAACAGTGGGAACACATTATATTTAATGGACAGAAAACCAGCCTCAAATAGATATCAAAGATAAACTGGGAATCTGGCCTGGGTGGGATAGGAAGGAGTGGGAAAGAAGCCCTAAGCCATGTCCAATTGCTTGGTTTTGATTTAACCAGCTGAGTATGTCTCTCTCTCTCAGCTCTGGTCACACTTACTGGGATCAGTGTCTACATTGCATATTCAGCTGCTGCCTTTGAAGAAGCTGTCTGCCTCCTGAGGAGCAAGGACCTCCTGGTGGAAATCGATATCAGGTTTGGCTGGTCCCTGGCCCTGGTCTGGATCTCCTTTGTGGCAGAAGTGCTCACTGGGGCCGTGTTCCTCCTGGCAGCAAGAGTTGTGGGTCTGAAACGGCAGCGTGAGCAGACATTATGAACAACAGGTGTCCCTGCAACAACAGAACCCTGAAGAGCCCGACAGTCTGGATTGCTCAGTCCAGCTGCTCACTGGGGGTATATAAAAGTGGAAGGCTGAGTGCCTTGTCCACTGCTGTAAACCTTTTCCCTCACAGCTGGCTATAAAACACAAAGATTCTGATAAATCAGTAAAACATTGCAAGTGCTGTCAATAAGGACACCCTTGTGACTTTAGAAGAAAGTACATTGCAGTGTTAGTGCTTTCAGACTAATTTCAGCTGGCAGCTCATAAGACATCTCCATTCACTGCTTGGAACAAGGCTGATTTCTTGCTTTCTTTTATCTTTTTTGCTGTCTAAGCAAAGTGCCTCAGAGTACCTTGCAGGTCAGCTTTTGGTTTCTCCTCTGAGACTCCTAAGAAGGACATGGACCTGCTGCAGTGAGTCCAGAGGAGGCCACAAAGATGCTCCAAGGGCTGGAGCCCCTCTGATATGGAGACGGACTGAGAGAGCTGGGGGTGTTCAGCCTGGAGCAGAGAAGGCTCTGGGGAGACCTTAGAGCTCCTTCCAATACCTAAAGTGGGATACAAGAGGAAAGGGGCTTTGGAGAAGAGCCTGGTGGTTGGAACTAGATGATGTTTGAACCCCTTTCCAACCCAAACCGTTTCATAATTCTGTAATCCAGCAGATGGTAGTGACTGTGATGGTAAAGTCCTTGCAGTGGTGAGTGTACTGCAAGAGAAAGATATAGCTGCTTTTCCAGATGTTTTAACTAACTACTGTAGCCAGCCCCAATCTACTTCAGATGCTCAGGCTACATACTTATCTTTTTCAGCCTGTCACTAGCTGCTTTTTCAATTCTGTAATGCTGAGGATGTATCTGATGCATTTCCCAGTTTTTATTTTGCATTTTTGATGATGCTTCCTTTTCATGAAGTTTGTGCACATGCTTTGTGCTAGAATATGTTTGTCTTGTGCTGGAAGCTGCTGAATAAAGTGAACACACAGGGTACACAAATTTCATCCTTGGTGCCAAAGCAATCTAGTTTTTCCTCTGGGTAGTAGCACTTAAAAGAATTGAAGTTACTCAAGAAATTTCCCCCTGACTGCTGTGGCTTTGAATAAAGACCTGAGTGTGTTAACAGCTTCCCTCCTTTTCTGTGAGATCATGTATTTCTGGAGGGCCTCAGCACGCTGCAGTTCAGGACTGTGACTCAGGAGCTGTGTCAGGCACACTCTGTCATTGGGCAAGTCCTTTGTACATCCTCCAGTAGTGCAAAGGGCATTCACCTACCTCTGTTATATATCAGGACAATTTTACCAGTGTGTCCCACGTTAAGGATTGCACATTCACTCTCACTGAGCTCAGCTTTTAGTCCCACAGTACCAATTCCTTCATGAAAAATAGTGGCAGGGAGCTTCTGGGAGCTTCCAGTCTTTGAAGACAGAAGGGAACATTATTATCACCATGCTGTGAATGGAGAGCTGAGCCAGAAGATCTGTCCAAGGTCATGTGAAACCAGAGTTTCTGAATCCCAGCCTAAGACCTGAGTTGGCAGTTGCTTGTTATCAGACTGAAGTAAGACTAGAAATCCTGAACGGACTAAGTAGTAGAAATTCTGTGGTTAGCCAGTCCAGTTTTGTAATTCTCACTTGCTCTGACATTGGTTTTCAGGTATTTTCCATGTTGCCTTATGTTAGGACCATGTAATTGAGTGATTTTACAAGTTAAAGCATACCAAATCAGCTCCAGAAAAAGAGTAAGAAAAACAAATCCTTTGTAGTAAAAATTCCATGTGCTTAAGTGAATTATGTAAAATGTGATTCTGTGTTTTGTTGCTGGTGAAGCTATTTATAATACAATTTGTATGATGTTACTCAGACATTACTGTAAGTGTAACAGTAAAATATAATCTGAGTTATTTTTTTAATATTTATTACAGATGTTATTTTAAAGTGGTTTTGAATGTTGTAAAATTAAATAAAATGACGTCTCAGAGCTGGGAGTTATTTACCAAGACATGGAAGAACTAGGTTTTATATTTTTCCCTAACTTTTTCTGCAGATCTACTGTTTTTATGATGCTTTTGAAGTGCCTGTGTCACATGTGGTAGGTATTTAAAAGGTACTTGCACAGCTACAATATAAAATACTCAAGTGATCAAATCTAATTAGAAAGCCAATGAATCTGTTATTGAATTAGAGCAATTGTCATTTCCATGGCTCTCCTAAATTTCTCATTCTGGCTTCCTGCAATATCTGGCACAATGGTAATAAAGAGTATCTTCTGCTCCTGAATGTTTGCATAACCCCAGAATTTCTCTGAAATTCCTTCTGAATACAAAGAACAAAAGACTGTTTGGAACAGACAAATTAGCACTGAACATGTTGAAAAATTATGCTAGGAAGAGAAAACATCCTAGAATGGATTTTTATGTATTTTGAGACAAATGACCTTATAAGCTTCTTCCTCTTACTGAAACTAATGTTTATTTAATACCCAGTTCTTTGCTGTGTTTTCCCCAAAATACATTACTGAGATGAGGACACTGAGTGTTCCCATTACTTTGTGGTGAATTGCAAACTCATTGGTAATTGGTCACATTTCAAGTGAAGAAAAACAGATGTACTGAGCAGAGCAGTACTGTTTGAGGGGTAAAGGCACAGAGCTACTGGCCAGTACCCATCAGTAATTTAAAGGCTTCCTCATGAGGTGACAGACAAGGATAGGAGAGGTCAGAGGAATCCATGAGCATGAAAAAGGTGCAGATATACAAAACATTTAGAGGACATGCTGGTGAATATTATGTGGACATGAAGCCACAAGGATTCAGTCTGAAACTGTGCTGTTCCCCACCTTGGCTTGTGCAGAGCAGCTTGGATGTCTCTGTATACTCACCTCTGGTGACCAAGGGGACATCACTGGCAATTAAAGAAGCTCCATGAATTTGTTGACCACTGATCCAAAGCCAGTAGACCTGTGCGATGGGTTGACCCTGGTTGGATGTCAGATGTCCATCCAAGTCGTTCTGTCACCTCTCTCCCTCAACATAGGGAGAAAAAATCTACCAAAAGGCACAAGATAAGGGCAGGGAGAGGTTAATCACCAATTACTGTCACAGGTAAAACAGACTCAACTTGGGGAAATGAGTTTAATTTATAACCAGTTAGAGTAGGAGACTCGGAAATAAAACCAAGTCTTGAAAACACCTTACCCTCACCCCTCCCTTCTTTCCAGGCTTAACTTTACTCCTGAAGTCTCTGCCTCCTGCCCTCTAAATGGCACAGGGGGACAGAGAAAGGAGGTTATTTCTGAAACATCTTCCTCCTCATGGAGTGGACTCCTCACACCCTCCCACAGGAGCCAGTCCTCCATGAACTTCTGCAGCATGAGTTCTTCCCATGGGCTGCAGGTTCTACCCCAGAATTTTAGCTATCCCTGGTTACGGCTACAGGTATTCAATTACTGGATTGCATTCTAGTTAAGTTACAAAAATTAGATTATTTTGCTTTTACTAAAACGTTATAGTGCTGTTTTACTGCAACAGCCCTCTCTTCTGTTTTGCACATCAGCTTTAACCCTAACTAGATCCTCAAACTTTTCCCTCCCTTTTTGCCGGGGCTTTCGGCAGCTGTCACTGTCACATCCGATCTTTTGATGCGTACTCACAGGAGCAGTACCTGCTGCTGGGTCACATCTCACTTCGGCGTTTGTGCTGGCAGCGATCACAGTGTGAGCGCTCTCCCCGGGGAGATCTGTTCGGCTTTGTGACGGTTCGCACAGAAACCGTGGTCTGTACTGACACCTCATGGCTGCGCTGAGCACTTGGGTGTATTTGGGGAGAAACCATTTCTGTGCTCGCAGCGCGTACAGGACAACCAGGTGATCACCCTGGCTTTAGGAAAGGCCGTTGGACTCGATTATCTTAAAGGTCTTTTCCAGCTTAAACCATTCTGTACTATTTTTGTATGGTTTGAAGAGCAGAGGAGACTGTCATGCTCACTGTGCTCCAGCTCCTCTATTTTATAGCCCAGAGACTCTCATTTAGAAACAGCATGCTGATTCCCAGTCTGTAACACCTCCCAGCTGCTGGGCATCTGAAGTTAAAATGTCAGGTGTTGGAAAACGTGCTGTTAATCATGCCTGTGTTTTTTTTTTTTTAAAAAGGTAATCACAAAACATTCTTAAAGGTTTTTATGTGCTTCTGTTCATAGGAGATAGATGGTATAGCCATTCCATTGATGGTTATGTTTGGAGTAGATTGACCAGTATTGGTTTTGATTACATTTGTGGGATAAATGTTGAAACTGCTAAGCAGAAACCAACCAAACTGAATATCTGAAGATGCAAACAATAAGAAAAAACAAATAGCTTTATATCATGGCTTATATGAGAGACTGTCTAAAAATTGAACAGTTGAACAGGACAGACTTCAGTATTGGTCCAGAAAATGTTAGAGGGGTTCTGGAGGAAACAGCATGCTACATTTTTCTGTGGATATTAATTTTTTTAACCCTCTTTCAGTAACTTTTTTTTCCCCAACAAAATCAGGAAATTCTGCTCTCAGTATGAGCTGAGCAACACCACAACACTGCTGAATTTTGAAACTGTGCAACAGCTGTCAAAGTAGGAGAGACCAAATCTAACCTCGCATTTATAAGATTCAGTCTTCTTTCCTAGGAGTTGTGGCAGCATTATCCACTCCAGATCTATGAATATATCTCTGTGTAGACTCCTTAGACACAGCTGTAATTCTTCCAAGCCAAATTACTGGGGTAGAGCACCTTCTGTAAAAATTTTTAGCTGTGGTGTAGGATTAAGTTGTTGGACTTATGTGTTGGATGAACACTATTTGGAGATAGTTCCTTCATCCCTGAACTACAGTCCCCAAACAGATGAGCAGCAGTTTGTTAACAATCTGCAGGTATTAGAGGGAAAGGATGTGATGCCATGCCCTACCATACCCCATGGTAGCTAAAGTGGCATTGATAGATTGAAATCTCTTGTTATGTGTGACCT